TAATGACAACAATAATAATATGATGATAATTATATAACAACCCGCTCCCACCCAGACGCACCCTACGGTCGTCACGAGAGACAGGGAACAGCGGCGACTCGCCCTCCAGCACGGACTGGCGGCCGGCGATACTCACTGACGCAGGTGGCCTCGCCGTCCTCGGGCCAGTTCCAGTCCCCGGAGGCGTAGCACCAGCGGCGCTGCTCGCCCAGGAGGACGTAGCCCGGGTCGCAGTCGAATTTGACTTCCGCCCCGCTGAGGAAGTTGAAGGTGGACTTGCGGCCGTGCGGGGGCGTCGGGAGGGCGCCGCACGACACCACTGTCGGGGAGAAGGCGCAGGGTGCGGAGAGAGAGAGAGAGAGAGAGAGAGAGAGAGAGAGAGAGAGAGAGAGAGAGAGAGAGAGAGAGAGAGAGAGAGAGAGAGAGAGGAGAGAGAGAGAGAGAGAGAGAGAGAGAGAGAGAGAGAGAGAGAGAGAGAGAGAGAGAGAGGGAGAGGGAGAGGAGAGGCCTCCCTCGCAAGCGCGCCCCCGTCCCCTCGCGCCCCTAAGGCTCAAGGATCCCCGCCCCAAAACGCCCACAGACGCACCTTCCTGGAGTCCGTCGCCCTTGATGTTGACGAACTGGTCCTGGTAGTACTTGGTCATGACGGCGAAGTCCCGCTTCAGCGAAACCACGTAGTCGAAGTAGCACTGGTACGAGTCGCCGCACACGCGGTTGATGTCCTCGATGGGGGTCGTCCTGCAAGAGGGAAAATCTGTACGGGGGGTCGTCCTGTCTGTACGGGGGTCGTCCTGCAAGAGGGAAAATCTGTACGGGGGTCGTCCTGCAAGAGGGAAAATCTGTACGGGGGTCGTCCAAGAGGGAAATCTGTACGGGGGTCGTCCTGTCCTGGTGCGAAAAGCGGGAAGTTGGAGTCGTCTTGGCAAAGAAATGGAAAGGAAACACCGGACGCAAGAGAAGCGAGAAAGATGGGCGCCGCAGCACTTGCTTGCTCTTCTGCCGATGGAGAGTCAGCTCACGACTATCCAGAGCAGAGTCGACTTAACGGAGAGAGAGAAAAAAAGATAAATGCACCTGTGAGAGTAGATGCAAATACTCACGCGTTGGGTGACAACTCAGGAGTCGTCTTCCACTCTGGGATGAAGTCCGGGTCGTAATAGTAGTTGCTGGAGCGAGAATTCTCGTGGAAGAACAAGCTCTTCCCGACGTCCGGATTCTCCTTGTCGTCCAGCACCCCTGCGGGAGAGCAAGGCCGTCAGAGCCCGAGGATGACTGCGCGCCCACTAACACAACATACACGTGTGTGTATGATACATTCAAGCACACACACTTAAAATTAACTGATTGATTAAGAAAATGGTGTATATGTGTGTGTATATAATATATATGTGTGTGTGTGTGTGTGTGTGTGTATGTGTGTGTGTGTGTGTGTGTGTGTGTGTGTGTGTGTATATATATATATATATATATATATATATATATATATATATATATATATATATATATACATATATATACAAACACACACGAACGAAGAGTGACAAAAAGGAAATCAATTTCAAAGCAGCACTGCCTCCCACTCAGTGACAAAGGAGTGAATTGAAGGCGGCGACCAAGCACACGCGAGGGGGGGGGGGGCGAGAGGCGGGCCACTCCCAAGGGCCACGAAAGGGTTCCTCGAGCAAGAGCTGCCCAGATTTTTTCGGGGATTGCACGCGATTCACATGTCAGTTCGATTAACGTCACGTCTACGAGTTGGAGGGAAATTTCAGTGCAGGTCAGCAACAAGTTCTAAAGTTCTCTTTTTTAAAATAATAGTTAAAATAAATAAAACCCACGTCATTCTAACGAGTGAAATGTCTTATTGTTTTTGCCCTTTGTCACTCCCATGTGATTATATTCCATACCATGGAGGTGCCACTCCCTTGAGATGATATTTATATTATTTGTTGGGTCGCCCCTTCGTTATAGCATTTCTTAGAACAGGTGAGCCAGCGCAAAGAGCATCGACTCTCGGCCAGCTTTCCCTCGCGGTTCCAGGAGCTTTCCTTGAGTGGCAGAGGAAGGACGCGACTCACATTTCATGGCGAAGTCCTTGTGGATGAGCTCTATGTTGTTCGCGTCTGCCACCGGGCCCGAGGAGCCGTCGGGCAGCACCAGGTCATCCTGCGGGTCGAACGTCCAGTTCCCGAATAAGCCTCGTGTTATATTCTGGAAGGGAAGCGAAGCGGCTGTCGGTTGGTTGTGCATATGCGCTCTCTCTGTCTCTGTCTCTCTGTTCTCTCTTTTCTCGCTCTCTCTCTCTCTCTCTCTCTCTCTCTCTCTCTCTCTCTCTCTCTCTCTCTTTCTCTCTCTCTCTCTCTTTCTTTCTCTCTCTCTCCTTTCCCTCCCTCCTCCTCTCTCCTTTAATCCCACTAACCTCCCTCCTTCTAGCCCCTCCCTCCCTCCCTTCTCCCCCTCCCTCTTTAATCCACTCCCTCCCTCCTTTAATCCCACTCCTCCTCCCCTTGCGCCCTCCCTCCCCTCTACCCCCCTCCCTCCCTCCTCCCTCCCTCCCCTCCTCCCTCTTTCCTCCCCTTCCCTCCCTTCCCTCCTCCTCCCTCCCTCCCCTTTCCTCGCCTCCCTTCGCCCACGCACGTACTCACCGCAAACGACAGAGGGAGGTATATCCGCGTGCCCAAGTAGCCCATGTTCTCCATGACTTCAACTCCTGCTCCCGAGGCGAACATGATGATCACGTGACTCTGGTTGAGAATGTTGCTAGGGGTGTAGACGACGCACTCTGGAAGCACGGGTTTGGAGGCGCTTCAGTCGGGCAAGGAAACGTACGGATAGGAGGACAGGCAAAAGAAATGAAAAAGGTCCAAGGAGAGATAGATAGACAGAGAGAGAGAGAGAGAGATGGGAGCTACTCACCCTTGAACTGCTGGATCTTCTGCGAATAGCGATCGAAGTACACTCTGGTTCCGTCGACGATGACGTCCAGGTGGTAGCGCCACATGGCGTCGATGGGGCGCCGCCGGACCTCCACCACGGAAGAGACGTTATCTTGGGCTGCGGGCGGAGGGGCATCAGCGAGTCAAAAAATGGAAACTACCTGAATCGCCTACAAACCAATATATCAGTAGATCTATGAATAAAAACGCAGAAAACGACAAAAATAAAAAAATGGAAACTACCTCAATCGCCTACAAACCAATATATCAGTAGATCTATGAATAAAAACGCAGAAAACGACCAAAAAAGAGCTTCCCAGAGAAGACCCAGAGGAGGAATCCCATGCTGGAGGGGAGCGGGCGCACCTGCCACAGCCGTGAGAGTGGACGCCCTTGCATCGCCGAGGTAGTTGACGGGGATCTGCTCGAAGCGGCCCTGGACGTCGAGCACATGGCGCACCGAGTCCACGCGGACCATCACGAACTCGCCCTTCCCATTGAAGGTGTACTGCAGGTCGTCGAAGGTGTACACGTGGGGGTCGCCGAACACCGTGGCTGCGGAAGGGAAGGGAAGGGGGGGGCACGCGTGAGGGGCTGAGGGAGGGGCGCTGGTGACAGGAGGGTAGGGAGAGCACGAGCCCTAAGGGATCGGTGGCGATCACACCAAAAGGTTTAGATAGCAATATAAAATACGTAATCATTAAAATAAGTAAATAAAGTAGAGATGAATAAAAATAATAACGAAAAAATCCTAACGCTTTCGTATCCAAGGTAACGAAGTACCATATCTGAAGACCTTGTTCTTTGTCAGTCTACAAAGTACAGTATTACCGCTGGGTGTTATCCAGGCGTTTCCCTGGACTCGCCCACTCACCCGCTGTCGGGGGCTGGTAGCCCACGCAGTCCTGGGACACCCGCCGCTCGAACCTGTAGGTGACGCAGCCCGGAGACTGCTCGCCCTGCCACTTGCAGCACGTGTAGAACGGGATGACGTCGTGGTACCAGTGGGACAAGCTGGGCACCTGTGGGTCAGAGGGCGCGTCACGACCTGGTCACCGCGCTTGGACGCTCGAGGACGCGGTTTCTCTCAAGAATTTCCGCATAAGAATACTGATGACAAACTGTTTTCTTGAAGTCGAATAAGAGTGAAACTAAAAGAATGCCTTTGAAGCCCTCCAGTTCACTGACATGAACACGAAAAATATCCACAAATGGAAGACCATGAAAGAAAATGGAAAATACGAAAAAGAGGTAAATAGAAAGCAAAGAAAAACGGGAATCTAGAAATAACAGATCGAAAGCTTGGTGCAAAAACTAATCGGCGATTTCCCGCCGCCCTCACCTTGTTCGCCTCGTCGAAGGGCGATTTCCCGAGGTTGTGGGCGCGGTGGGGGTTTCCGCCCCACATCTTGTCCGCGGTCATCATGAGGTAGCCGTCGCGGTCGTAGCAGCACTGCTGGCCGGCGCCGTCCTTGCTGCGGGGGGGAGAGGTCGTCAGCAAGGTCTATAGAAGTACTTATATAGACCTTGGTCGTCAGCGCGCCACGGACGGGCCGAGGAACCGAGCGCCTGGGCTCTGGCGGACAAGCGCTATCGCCACTGTTATCATTGTTATTAGTTTTCTACTGCTATGATTATCACCTTATTTCACTGATTGATCTCTCCTTACTTGGGCAGCGCCGTGCGGACGCAGTGTATGGCGCCAAAGTGGTAGTCGCACTCGGTGTTGCCGTCGCGGTCGCAGGAGAAGTCGGGCAGGAAGCGCCCCTTGTCGGCCACGGCTTGCTTGAGCAGGCACGGGCAGCGCTCCACCTGAGGGCCAAGGGGAAGGAGGGAAGAAGAGAGGGCGTCAGCTTAGCTTTTGGCGACCAGTGGCACGGGGAAAGGGAAGCGTCAGACACACTCGAAGGCAAGGCGGATCCCGCCACAACACACCTCGTAGGCGAAGTTCCTGAGATTGCGGTCGTTCTCGATCCAGCGGTCACACATGGCGGTCGTCCATCCCGTGCCGTAGATTCTCTCCCACTGCGGCCGGAAGTACCAAGCCAGAGGGATGGGGCGGGACCACACGACCCTAAGCAAGGCATGGGTCAGTCAGTACTTTTCCTGTATTTTTGTGATGGTACTTTTGATAAGCTTACCATATTTTTTGTGATAGTACTTTTGATAAGCTTACCACACATCTTTCTATTATGGCTACAACAGCATTACTTTAACCTTTGCTCTGACTACCACCTCTCCTTGACTCGCTGCAACGGAAGCTGTCCCCGGCGGCAAAAGGACCTACTACTCACGTGGAATCTTCGAGGCCGTAGGCGGGTTCTGGCGTCGTCAGGTTGATCATGATGAGGCCCATCTCGAGGTCCAGGTAGTCGCGGTTGTCCCGGTTCGCGTAGTCCCCGGGAACCAGGATGTAGTTCCCCGTGTTCGGCGTCCGTCCTGTAGGAGTGGGGGGGGGAGGACTTGACCGGCGGCTTGGGCACGGATTCACGAACGCACTTACGGTGGTAAAGTCACTGGCAACTATAGTTATCATGGTAAACAGACAGCGGTGGTATTCACTAACAATTTGCCATTGGAGTTACCATGGGAAAGTTTACCAGTGGTCAGAGAGGAGAGAGAGAGAGAGAGAGAGAGAGAGAGAGAGAGAGAGAGAGAGAGAGAGAGAGAGAGAGAGAGAGAGAGGAGAGAGAGAGAGAGAGAGAGAGAGAAGGAGAGAGAGAGAGAGAGAGAGAGAGAGAGAGTGTGTGTGTGTGTGTGTGTGTGTGTGTGTGTGTGGTGTGTGTGTGTGTGTGTGTGTGTGTGTGTGTGTGTGTGTGTGTGTGTGTGTGTTTAAGTGGATTGTGTATGATTTATATATATGGAGAGAGAGAGAGAGAGAGAGAAGGAGAGAGAGAGAGAGAGAGAGAGAGAGAGAGAGAGAGAGGAGAGAGAGAGAGAGAGAGAGAGAGTGGAGAGAGAGAGAGAGAGAGAGAGAGAGAGAGAGAGAGAGAGAGAGAGAGAGAGAGAGAGAGAGAGAGAGAGAGAGAGAGAGAGAGAGAGGAGAGAGAGAGAGAGGAGAGAAGGAGAGAGAGCAGAGAGAGAGAGAGAGAGAGAGAGAGAGAGAGAGAGAGAGAGGAGAGAGAAGAGAGAGAGAAGAGAGAGAGAGAGAGAGAGCCTGCATCACGTGTTATCTCGTCAAAAAAAAAAAAAAACAATATCTAAACAGTTTTGGGTTTGTTTTTTACACCTGATGTAACTAATATGATGGCAAACAGATATCACAACGCGGACATAGTGAAGAAACTAGCAAGAATAAAATCCACACAAATTCTCGTAAACTTATAGGCCTACATTATACCAAAATACATGGAACCGATAACTAAGTGAACTTTTAATGAATTCTTCTCTGACATAATTATTGCAAATGCTATAGGAAAAACTACCTTGCTGATATATAAACTGGCAATACCAACGCTAAATGAGTATAGCACTATCTGTATCTGTCTGCTATTTTCACAATAAACTCCAAAGTGAGATATTTCCTTTGACAACAAATGGCGATGAATAACAATGATGACGCTTAACAATGATGAAAAATATATAAATAAAAAGCGGTTTAGACTGTCTCTTTGGTTTTAAGTTAACAATAATATATTAATATAACAGTGTTTGTATTGGTTCCTATCTATACAGTAAATATATATCTAACATGATGGATATAATCAAATAAATATATTCTTTTTTTTCTACATGTGCTTAAATAGTGTTTTAGCTCTGTCGATTATTTAAACAATCTCGCTGTGTCTAGTTCTGTTTACATGTTACGTGATTGGCCGAAGGAACCTAAAAGATTATGTAAAGCGCTCGCTGATTGGTGGAATTGCTTTAGCAGAGCCATCTGTTGGCTACCGTTGGATGAGTCGATTTACGATTTACACACACACACACACACACACACACACACACACACACACACACACACACACACACACACACACACACACGCGCATACGTCCACACACTCAAATCCTCTCTTTCCCCCTCTTCAAATCTGTCTGTCTGTCTGTATATGCATCTACCTCTTTCCCCCTCTCTTCCATCCACCCCCCCCCCTCCCCCCTCCCTCCCCCTCCCCCTCCCTGCCTCCGCCTCTACTCACAACATGTCGATGTAGAGATTTCCGGTAGATGGAGATCTCCCTGTAGCCCCAGAGCGAGATCGTGACCTGCGCGTCCCTGTTCATGGTGAGATTACCCGCCAGCCACGCGATCTTGATGTCTGTGGGCGTGTGCTGCTGGTAGCTGTCGTCCTTGAACCACACTCCCTCAGGGGCCGTCAGGGGCGTCTCTGCCGGAGGGGCGCACGCCAGGGGTCAGAAGCGAGGGGAATTAGCATGTGGCCTTCTTGCCCTAACGTTACAAGGTCGTGGTACTGACCTTATAGGTAGATCCGGATGGCCGAGACCTGCCCTATGATCGTAAATCAGTTTAATCCAGGATAGGTTACATTAGCTGCAATTTGGTGAGGTTAGGTTAGGTTAGGTTAGTTAGTTAGGTAGTTAGGTTAGGTTAGTTATTAGGTT